TGATATATTATTGTTGGTCTAAGTTTCTTGGAAAATTTCACAGCAGAGGTATTGAAAAGCAATTAATATTCACAGAAAGATTACTGATTGAGATAGCTTTCATTGCACTGGCTTTTAAATAGCAGCATCTCTTATTAATACCATCACTCGTAATAAATGCAATTAAAATTGTTGACTAATTAAAATTTTAGTGTTAAATTTATATAATACAGACTTTACACTTGCAATTAGAGCTTTCTTGATTCTGCAGCATGTTGTTCAGGGAGAAAGAGACTATGATCACTGATTACATGTCTGTCATTTAGTAAGAAGAAAGAAATTTTTCAGTGTCTCCCTGGTTAGCATTACCAAGAGACTTCTCAAAGCAGCAGCAGACAAAGTTCTGAAGTGGTATTTTAAGTAAGTCACTTCAAAAGTCAACAGTGTTAAAATGTTTTATATAAGCACTTGCACTGATGAATCCACGGAGTTCAACATTTGCCATTGTATTGTGTTCGGCTAGGAGAGGTGCATCAAATATATTTATTGCTGCAAGGACAAGGTTTTGGCAGATCGGAATACATGGCATTGTTCCTGTGAAGTTCAGTTTCTCATGTTCTGTGCTCCGGTTTCTACTTTTCCGCAGAAAGTGGGATACGGCCTGATTTTGGAGCAAGTACTTCTATCGCTGACATATCTCTGTCTTAGTGCTAATCCATACATGGAAACAGCATCTGTTGAATCACTACTTTGCTCACACTCTTCTTCGTGAAATTCTCAAGATCCCTGGGATTCTGGCACGGAGATGGTCAATGCCAAACTGAGTCAGTCCATGCTGTAGCCATCAAGTGGCACTGCCAGCACTCTGCTCTTGCCTGTGTCTTTTGTGGAGATACTGATGAAATCATGACTTTGGGCAAGGTTTGATTTATTGGAGGAGCATTTATAGTAATATCTACAAGTACTTCTCTGCCTGTAGCTCTAATTTCTGGTCCTGGAGCACATGACCTGTGAGGAAAGGTGGAAGGATTTGTCCAGCTACGAGTTAATAGAGCCAAACTCTCCTTGTTATTGGCAGTGAATGTAATAAGGATCAACCGTTACAAATCGCAGGTAGGGAGGTTCAACTTGTATGTAATTAAAAAAAAATCTTCTTTGCCAGGAGAATAGTGCAGTTCTACAACAGGGCACCCAGAGGGGTTGAGAGAGCTTCATTTTAGACATCAGCATTTTGATAGACAAAGCCATGGCTGACCTGATCCAGTGCTGCCTGTCGTCCTAGTCTGAGCACAAGGTTGCACTAGACACCTCCGGAGGTTTCATTCTAACCATAGCTTTTGTGATGCTGTGAGTGTGTATTCAATAAATGTCCTGGGTCAATGGCACCCACTGGGAACAGCTTTACAATGTCTTTGTCACCTACAGGCGTTCCCACTGCACTCTCAATTCCATTTCTGACTCCTTTCTTCCCCTAGTTTGCTCTCTGTGTGGAAGTATGGCTTCTAACTAAATTCAGTCTATTAGAAAGACTGAAGTTTTATACTGCTCTTGTCTTCTCATTGGGAAGCCTTTCCAGAGGAAAACATGGCTTTCCTGCAGTTTTTAGAGCAGAGTGACCTTCAGCGTCTTCGGCCTCGTTTGCAATAATGTCTTATCCAGGGCAATCAATCTCTCAGCCCTTCCGTCAGGGCATTTGCGTGACTTTCAAAGCCCTTTGGCAAGTGTGTTTTTTCTCAGTTGATGTGAACAAGGTGTGACATCAGCATTTTTCAAGAAGCTTTCTCACTTTTTTCCACTTACTTTCCGTAGTGGAGCTGTATGCGATGTGAGCTGGAGCATTACTGGTGCGGGACACCTCTGCCCATCAAGAAGCTTCCTCTTCGCTCTGAGTGTGTCTATAGAAAATAGCTCATTCACTGTCTTTTAGACTTCACTTGTCTTTTCCACTTCGTGTTCAAGTGCTTACAGCTTCAGATTATGCAAAATGCTCTGAAGATGTTTGTTTCAGTGACAATTTTGCTTGAAATCCAGAAGAATCTTACAAGATGTGCAATACATTTTGCTACCACTTGTATGAAAGAAAATTTGGATTCTTTACTTCTCTGCATAACATTTATAGTTGCCACTTTCCAGCCAAAAAAATCTAGCTATATTTTCATTGTAATTATAATTTATTTACTACCTTGCTCAACTGTACTTTAGGGCATTCTTCAGCTACCTGTTTCTACTACAGACCTGCACCAACAAGTTGATCTTTGTGTGCATTTGGCAAGTGTAAATCGGAGTGATTTGATTTTCACATTGGCCCAGGATGTTATGCATGTTTGTACAAAGGAAGCACCCACCCATGTACAGTTTGCACTATGTTTATTGAGATTTGTGGCTCCATGGTCACCACGACTGTGTGGTGACGTCTCAGTGCTGTGGTTTCACAGAGTGTGTGCACCAGATTGTGCAGACAGAGAGGTGTATGCGCAGGGGAACAGGGAGAGAAAAACAACTGCATGTGTATAGAGATGAAGAGAATAAATATTCCAACTGTGAAATTACTGTAAAAAGCAGTTTTGGTGAGCATGGTAAGCCTGAGTTTAGCTTTGGATCCTGCATGCCCCGGATACAAAAGCACATTTTTCCATCAGTCGTTGTGATTTTTGCTGCACAATTCGCTTTGCGTCTGTTGAAGCAGTACGGAGACTGATTGCAGACTTGCAGCTAACAGGAATGCCAGCGATGTGCTCTTCTGTCAGATGCGGGCTCAGAATTTCCAGCTCTCGTCCAAATCAGACATTTCTGGGATAGCTGATAGTAGCAAGTGTCTGGCACCTGAGATTTCTGCGTTCTGGTTTCAGAACAGGAGCGCAGATTTCCTCTCGCTTTGGGTTATGGAGAACAGCATTGTGGATGATGCCAAATTCTTTTGTCTTTTCCTGTATTATCACTTCCGAACTCCCTTGTCACCGTGACCGTGCTGCAGGGGAAAAGGCCGGGATGCCGTGTGTGGCTTCCCTGGCTGGGGAAGGGCGTTGCAGTGGTGTGGGTGACACCATCGGGGAAGGTGTGTTAGGTGCAGCACGATTTTAGAGCTGACATTCTGTGGGCAGCCTTGAGACATGTTCCAGTTCAGAAGATGCACATGGCAAAAAACTCAGGGCATGTACCTTCCACAGGTAGGAAACTGTTCTCAGCTGTATTTTCCTGTGGCCTTGCAAATGGCTCGTGTTGGTTCCTGCTCCTGTGGGTGCGCTGACAACAAAATTGGGAAAAAGAGAAGGGACTAAGTCTGATCCTGGTGGGTTTCTGGCTGTAGTTCCCAGGCTCCAGCTATGAACCTCCTGGTGGAGCAAAACATGAGGAGTCAGTAATGGTTGCAAAATGGTTCGAAGGCATGTAGGATTGTTCCTGCAAGGATTGAAGACCTTCCTTGTTTTTTCCAGGCTCTCTCATCCATGGAGGAATTCAGAAACCTGGATCGGGACATTGAGGGGTCTGCAAAACGGTGGAAGAAATTTGTTGAATCTGAGTGTCCTGAAAAGGAGAAATTCCCCCAGGAATGGAAGAACAAGTCAGCTCTGCAGCGCCTGTGCATAATGAGAGCCGTCCGCCCCGATCGCATGACCTACGCTGTCAGGTAGCGGCACTTCTTCACAGCTCTGTATTGCTCTGGCTTAGCAGGCAGCTTTGGGTGTGTGTTTGCTAGGGAACAGGAGTAATTAAGGAATATGCTTTGATTTATTTATTATAGAATATGAGTTCTGCAAAATGGTTTCCTGCAAAGGAGACTGATGAATGAGTCATCTCTGAATTCTGCAAGACAGTCAACACATTTAATTTAACTGGACCTTCTTGCTTAGCGAGATCTAATCCCAATATCAGCAATAGTGGTGGAAGCGGTGTAACTAACACCGGGTTATGTATAACCCAGTGTTCCTGGGTGAGGAACAGACATGCCAAGTCAGAAAAGAGCATCATCATACGGGTGTTGCACATCTGCTAGAGTCTTTTAATGATCAATACAACTTCTAGAGCTCATTAAGGTTGATATTAGTTACTAGAACTTTTACAGCTGTTCCTTAGGCATAAGAATAAAGCGTAGAAGTGAAGAGAAGTCTTACAGAGGTTTAATCTTCTTTTTTTTTTCCTGCAAAATGAAAAATTTATGTGATGCTGCTAGTTCTGAAAGTTGTAGTTGTAAATTATGTAGTGATGGTAACTAGGCAAATCTAAACTTTATGAAGGTATGCAAAAGCAATACGCTTGTTCCACGAGAAACTAAAGATCTTTCACTCCATTAGGACTTGTTTTTTCCTCTCTGTCCTAGTAGTCTGTGATCTGACATTTCTGCAATACCTCTCATGCCACTGCCTCTCAAATAGTTTAGATTGTTCCACCATCTGGCATGTGCATGTATATGGGTGTGTGTAGCAGATTGTATTACTCAGCGTATGAAATAGATTTCTGTTTGTGCTTTAAAATTCACAGAAAAATGCAGAAAAGACTGAGTGAAGTTTCACTATGGTCAATGTTGCTATGTTTTATTAAATTAAATACTATAATTTATCATAATTATACCATTCTAAACCATCTTCTTTTACATTTGTTACTTTTTTAGGGCTGGATTCTCCATGTGTTCTCTCAGCTGAAAAGATTGTTTTTCTTTTTGTTATTTAGTTTGAGTAAAACAAGCTCTTGTCTTTCTGAGCTTTTAAGTACATATTTCATTTAAACAAGTTTAATTCATTGCTTTCAATCAAAATGGCAGTATTCACATAGATAAAATATAACTAGAACATAAAGTTTCAATTCCTCAATTCTTTTCATATTTCTCTTTCATGAAAATGCAAGGGAATCCAAGTTCAAAAGCTTGGCTGGGTATTTTTAGGGTCTGGGCATGTCAAGCTTTTCTGTTTGCACAAGAGTATTTAAATGTTTTTTTGTTTTGTTTCTTATCTAGAAGTAGGTTAGAATGTAAACATGTGCAAATGATAACAGTTCACAGTGCCTTACCCAAGACTTTGTTTGTAGATGTTTGTGACTAAGATTCTTCTTGAAATCCAGGATAGCCAGAAACTAGGCCAAAAAGCCTTAAGAAGAGCTTTTGTTTAGGGAAATCTCATAGCAAATGTGAAATAACTAGTGGTAAAAATGACAGTCAAAATGGCTTTGACTTCCTGGTTCATCCTTGATAGTATCATACTCCTCAAATATAGCTACCATGCAGAAGGCTAGTGGTCATCTGGTGTCTTGCTTTCCTAAGCACCTTCAAAACTATGTTTCTTCTGTGACCCTTCAAAAAGTAGGGGACCTTGTACAGCACTGGGGAGCTGCATACTCTGACCATGAGAACTTCAGCCTCAACATCCCTAGTGTAGCCAGTAGCATTTCAAGATCACGTTCATCTTAAAAAATTCATCGAGTTTTGGGTATCTGCAGTGTCATTGAATTCCATAAGTTGTTTTCCAGTTCTCAACTTGCATTTTATCTCTTCCTTCTATATAGCAGTTAAATCTGCTAACATTAAGTACCTTACTGATGATCAATGGACATCACTACAAGCATAGTCCTAACCTTCCTGTCTGAGAGTCTTGACAAGTACCTGAGTGCATAAATGCAGGAGTCAAGGAGTAGACAGGTAGCCTACCCATAGGTGACTAAGAGTATTTTAGATGCCCTGGAATATCCCTATCCCATCTCCAGCTACTGTTCAGAAAGGTGTAAGAGTCTGTATGTCCCATGTCATATACACCACCTCCATGAAGACAGTCTAGGAAGCCCTTTAGTATCTAAAATGACATGGATACCATCCTCCCTCCACCCCTGTATAGGCTTCTTGCATTTCCTTGTCTTGGAAGCTAGGTTTTTCAGCCCCTCTTCATAGCAGATCCCTGGGGATATTTACACAGGCTGTTTTATTGCCTAGACCTAAGGAGCTGTCAGGAGAAATCACTTTTACCATGATTCACTCCTTAGAGCTTAGGTGAGGGCAGTGCTCCATTGTCCACCACCGAGAATCATAATTTCCTCAAGAGGGATTTTCCAGTGTAAATGCCTATTTCATCCTTCAATCTTATTGAAGAACATCAGCAAGCAGCTTGTTGCAACACCTTGTGCTCCCATGCTTCCACATCCATGATGAAGTCAGATCAGTCCAGCAGCCACTGGCAAGGTGTAACATGGTCATGGTGAAGTCCTTACAAAAGCACTGGTACTTCTGCCTTGAGGAAAAGGAAATACCTTTGAAACTATGCGGAAGGACTAAGGACTCTCGTACCTGGCACCTCCAGCCACGATTATGATACTTATATGAACTCTTCAGATAAAGGATCTTAGGCAACTGTGGCTTCATATAATCCAGAAAAGCTGCAAGCCAGCCATTTGTCTCACAAGGCATTTTTGCTTTTTGTTCTGGCACCTTTCCTCAGATCCTACTGCTTGTACTGTGAAGCACTCCTATGATCACCTTATTTGAAAGACACCAAGTGTAGGCACTTTTCCAATCCTGTCTCTGAGGACACACATTCCTTTCCTGCATGTGCGGTCCATTTCAAAGTCTCCAAGTCACGTTAGTTGTGTTTGTGAATCTCCAAGGCATTATTTAATAGAGATTAGACTTGATGGAAAACAAGAATCTTGTGACCTTGTATCTGACAGACTTTTTAAAATTTTGTGGACTGAAGCTTTCCGTTAGGTCTTTAGCAAAACTTGACTCAGAACAGAAAAATCTACTTGAAAGAAGCACCAAACAAAGCGGAAGGTTTTTCTTTTGCAGTCCCTTAGGCGTTTCTATTCCACCTGCCTTTCACTAGTCCTTGGAGGAGACTCTCCGCTCTCTTAGAAGGAATTTGGCTGCCTTATTCTGGTATCATCTACCAGGTGAAAACGGGCCAATGTTTTTCTTCCCCGTGGTACTGAGGTTTTCAGAAGGCCTGAGTCATGCATCTATGCTAGAAGAGCAACTGCTCATGCGTGGGGTTTGAATACAATATTCCTACCTTTGAATCAATGGTCACTGTATCCTTGTTTTCTAAAACAGTGATTTTGGTGAGCTCACCCTGGGGAAATTCAGCCTGGATGTTCCCTGTGCGCTGTATTCGGGCAGATGCTGTGCAGCTGAATTTTTTCCTGTTCACTCAGTTGTATTTTTCCTTGTGACTCTCATGCAGAGGCTAAGCTACACACGCTAGATATTCTTAAAGCTCTTTTCTTTTATCTTTCCAGAACAAAGTAATTTTGTAAATCATCTGGACTTTTTGCAACTTTTGGTGATAAATCTAAATGAATACTCTTTCCTCACAAAGGCTGTATGGATTACAAAGTACACGGCAGTTTTCTGTACATTAACTTAACTATGTCTTCTCTCCCGAGATACCTTTGTCAAAATCAAGCCCCTACTTGTAATGAACTTCTGAATACAGCATGGGACTGGTAGGTCCCACTGTTTTCCCTTCTCACTTCCTTTCGTTTGCCAGATATTGGTGTTCCATGTGTCATTTTACCCCTGTAAAAAGTGCCAAACATTGCTACTGAATGATAGCTCCTGAAGCCCAGCCTGCAGATCTTCTCTACAATTATTTCATGCCCATTTTTTTTGTTAAGTTTATAATTTGCTTGAATCAGCAAAATGAAAACTAATTAATTGATTATTTGAAGGGAAATCTGTCTTTTCTGTACAATAGTAGACTGGCAAAACATTTTTCTTTCTGGCAGAGATTTTGTAGAAGAAAAGCTTGGCAGTAAATATGTGGTAGGGAGATCCCTGGATTTTGCAACAACCTTTGAGGAATCAGGACCTGCAACCCCAGTGTTTTTTATCCTGTCCCCAGGAGTCGACCCATTGAAGGATGTGGAGAAACAAGGTAAATAAATCATGTCCCTAGGCATACCATAGCATTGCTTTTTATCTTCTGCATAATTATCTTGGAATGACATTCTTGTTCTGTTTTTTTTCCTCATCTCTTTGTAGATAATGGAGTAATCTGTTAAAAATAGATAATTGTGAGAGGATGTGATTGTTTCTTTTCTTTTTTTTCTTTTTTTTTCTTAAAGGTTTTTGGATTTTCATCTAAAGTTTAAATTAAATTTGCTTCTTTCCTGCATTGCCTAGATTCCCAGCGCAGTTCACACTGCAATGATTTCTGAGTTGGTCTTGTACACAACCTATAATTTATGTCAGAGATATCTAACATGCTGTCAGATAGCTAAAAATAAGCAGTAGCTCCCTATAATATTCTGTTGGTTAGCGGCAGATTTTCCAGTTTTTAATCCCATCTTTCCTGAGTTGGTTTTGGTGCGGATGGTCAGATGTAGTGCTTTCAGCTGGCTTCAAAGCAAAGGGGTTTCTCTAAGGTGCCTTGTTTGAGAAGGCGGTGATTTCTGTTCTGCACTGACTGCTATAGTCAGTGCCTGTGCTCTAAAGGTGCCAATGTGCAGAATTTGCTCTGGGTCTCGGCTCCACTGTGGAAGAATTACTATTTTCAGCCTGAGCATGGCAATTACAGTAGGTCTGGAAATGGGGTTACTGCTGACTGTCGAACACAGGTCACTGCAATCACTTCTTTTGAGATGGTTACAACAGAGGGGCTCCATCCCCTGGAGTAGACGGGTCAGATGCCTCTGGGTATGGTGTTAGGGCTGCTCCGGTTTGCTGTCTGCTCATCAGATGTCTTTTCTTTTTCTCCAGCAATGTACTACACATATCTCCAAGACCATGACTTGTGGTCAAGCTCCGATGCTCCTGGAAGCGGGGAGTGTAGTGTATTTAAATGGTTTGAAATAGACTAGACTAGATTAGACTAGAATAATTCAGTTGGAAGAAGCCTACAACAATCATCTAGTCCAACGGCCTGACCACTTTGGGGTTGACCAAAAGTTAAAGCATGCTATTAAAGTCATTGTCTAAATGCCTTTGAAACACTGACAGGCACGTAATTTGTAATACCACAGTAGAGCTGCTGGCTGGTTTTTAGCAGGCATGTCTCCAGACTAAACATTAGCAAGGCTGGCAGCCCCAGGAGAGAAACCAGTAACACTGAACTAAGCCATCATCCAGGTGAGCGGTGGAAGCATGCTGACCTGTGGATTTCTTTTCCTCTCTATGATGAACCTTCTGGGACACCCCAAAATAACGTTTGAGTCACTCTTCACCCGCATTCCCACAAGCAGCCTCCAGAGATGTTAAAGCCCCGAGCAGCCTGAGCCACAGACCAGGTGCAGGTCTCAGTCGTGGAGAGTCCCTGGACTCTGCATTGTGTTCCGAGCTCTTTCTGCCCTGACATCAGGTCTCATTACTGTGAATTGAACGGGACTCCCCTGAGGAAGGTCTTATCATGTGCCTGGCTTCCCTTTGGAGCCACGTCAATGATCCTGTCTCTCACTGTGTTGTTTTCCTGAATGGGAAATGAAGCACTAAAATCCAACCATTAATGTTTTAATTGGAATGATAAAGATGTGTGTGGCTGAGCACCTGGGGTTAGTCAGACAGAAAAGTTACAGCAAGTAAAAGTGAAAAAAATCTAATGAAATAAAAACATTGCTTCAGTGCAGCTGCACTGGCCTTAAAGCCTGCCTTGCTGGGGTTTGGATCAGATTCATTATTCAATATTTTCTCTACCCTTCCACCGGCTTTTATTAAAGTGCAAGTCTGGCTAGATAATTCTTGTGAATGAAAGATATTTTCTTCCACACGCTGCCCACTCATGGGACCTTTCCTTGGTGACATGGGGAGGACCCTGCAGCAAATGCTGTTGGGCTCGGAAAGGTCCCCCCCTCGCTGCCAAGGGCAGCCTGCCTGCACTGTGCCCTCTCCTCTCCGAGTCAGCAAGGAGGGAGACTGGCATCGCCTTCGGTAAGGCAGCAAGCGCAGACTCACTGTGTGTCCCTCTGCAGTCCTGTTCCTACCTGTGAAGCAGAAATAACAACTGATATTAATTTTATTATTAATCATCTGGTTTGGGGTAGTGCCCTGCCTTCTGTAAGTTTGCCCCATCCATTCTTGAGAGGGTGGGGTCTTGAAGGCAGAGGAGGAGATTAGCAGCTCTTAAAGTTGGCAGCCGCCAGAGATGGTGAGAAAGAACACTGGAAACTCTCAAATGGTGAGAAAGAAAACTGGAAACTCTTAAATATGGAGAGAGCTGCATCTCAGAGGGCTGCTGTAGTAAGGCAGAGAGCTCAAGCAACTGGAAGAGTTTGGATGTTTGTTTTACTTATGGCCATCTGTTTCCAATATTGTACCAAAAGCTGAATCCTAAGTCTTGCAAGACAAATCTTTTCCTCATTTGACTGTAAAACTTGCCTGCTTTTATCAAAAACCAGGAATTAAGGGTGCGCCTTCTGGATGAAGGCAAATCTGCATGCAGAGATTATTGTAGGCAATCCCAAGAGATCAGCACGTGAGGACATGTGTACTGACTCCCCAGCTGAGCCGAATGTGTCCTGCTGTGATGCGTGGAGCCGGCCTGGATGTTTGTCAGGCTGCTTCCCTCCAGCCACACAAACTGGTGCTCATCTGCTGAGGAGCACACAGCAGAGAGACCTTGCTCCAGGCAGTTGCTTCTCCTGTGGGATGAGGAGCAATTGGTGTCCTCTGTCTTTGAATGACAGCTAGATTCAGAAAACAAAACAGGAGATCTTCGGCCATGATCACTTAAAGGATCTGAGGCACTGGGATGCTACGGAAAAACCAGGGGTTTCCGAAAGGGTATCACAGACTAAATGAAAAAACACTAAATAGCTGCCATCCGTCCTCCAGAGCAGGACAGTAAATGACAAGGGGTTTGGGGTTCCCACCCTGCACCATGCAGAAGGGGATGTAGAAGGGACTGTAGGAGATGGTCTGCAGTGACCCCTGGAGCACCCGTTCCCATGGGCTCTGCTGCAGCCCACTGACCATGGGCCTTCCCACAAGCATTGTGGTGCACCCAGGGGTATCTCCACACCTGCTGAAGCCCATGATGATCCATGAGAAATCTGGAGGGCTGACTGATCTCTAGCTCCAAGAAACCTGGGAGATCTTGGTCAAGGCCACAGGAAGCTCACACAGATTTCATTTCAGCTGTCTTAAATCTGAATGGGTTCCTAACTTTACTGCTGGTTCTAGCATGGTGCATTTCGCCACCGAATGATGTCTTGTTCAAAGCCTATTTAATCAGCAGGAAATGATTTTAATTTCCTATCGTTGTAAAATATGTTTTTACACAAGATTGCAGGGGAATAATGTTCTTTAAACAAGAGGAGCTTTGTAATAATGTACCTTTGTGTTGATGCCATTCTGTAATTAAAAGTAGTTTGCAAGAAGCTACTGCTGTTTTCAGTGCTTTGGCAAGGAGTGTGTGAGAGACAAGATAACTATTATAAGAAGTGCGATAAGTCTTCTGTGAGGGTTTTTGATAAGGCTGAACTCTGCCTCGCTGCTGCCGCCTGAGCTCAGCTGTGCTGCGTGCCTTTCTGGGTAAAAGTGCTGAACATAGCTCTTTTTTTCTTTTAGGGAAGAAACTCGGTTATACATTTAACAACAGGAATTTCCACAATGTTTCCCTTGGACAAGGTCAAGAGGTAGTTGCTGAACAAGCTCTAGATCTGGCTGCGAAGGAGGGTCACTGGGTCATCCTCCAGGTACGGTGTCTTTGGGAACAGTCCTGTCGTTCCCTCGGGTTACCTGGTGCCAATCACCTTAGCGAGGGCTGTCTATCATTCTTATCTGGTGTGAGATGGGACAAGGTGTCATCTGTGTGTCCAAACCAGCCACCTTCTAACTGTTTCTTGCTGCTGTCTATTGCTTTTATCGGGCATTGTTGTTTTGGTTTTTTTGCTCTTTGAGCCTTTTGTAGGGTGTGTAGTTGTAGGGAGTCCTCTGAGGGAAGGTTGTGCTACATTTTCCCATGCTTTTATTTGCTTCATGAATAAATAAAGAGCTTTGTTCTTAAGAGCTGTTAGACTAGTTCTCTTACTACCCTTCAAAACTTAGCATGTATTTAAATGAGCAATGGGAACAAGCACACCACTGTAGGAAAGGCAGAGGCTATCTGTAGTGGTACCAATTCCTTTATGCATTCCAAAACAGGAAAGTGTTTCAAGCTCTTATCAATAACTTGGCAAAATGTTTCAGAGCCTTTTGGGGTGCAAAGGGAGCTCTGTCAAGTGCTCCCTGGAGACACGTAGTGAGTGCTTGGATTTGCTAATGTGCGGAGTCAGTGATGCCAGCTCTCATTACAGGTCTTGGGAACACCTCTGATTTCCCCGATGTGGATTTTATAAATGTTTATTATCACTGAATGGTTGGATATTAATTATTATTACATTATATA